ATAAAAAGGGACGATGGGAGTATCATTTTAAAGTTTAGTAATGTCAAAACAAAAAAGTAATTGCTTATATTTGAGGAATAAAAATAACAAATTTTGGCAAAAATACTTGAGAGGGAGTAATTATTTTTCAAGTTGTACAAGCCTACAAGGTATTACGTAGGGGGAGGGTTCCAGTGAGAAAGGACTCCCAGGAGAGAAATGAGAATGAATCTGGACCGTTGGATTGTATGATGTGAAATTGAACTATGCATTTGGTAAAACTGAAATGTGCATTAAGTGAAATTGAAATGTGCACAATGAAAAGTAAAACTCAAATGTGTATTACGTGAAATTAAAATGTGCAGAATAAAAAGCTCCAAAAATGCTACCACATCATAGTTTTATTCTGCACATTTCAATTTCACCTAGTGCACATTTCAGCTTACCTTTTATGCTGCACATTTCGATTTCACCTAATGCACATTTCCGTTTCACTAAATGCACATTCAATTTCACATATTACAATCTAACGGTCCAAATTTATTCTCATTTCTCTCTTTTCTAGGATTCCTTATCACGCCACACATGGAGATCCTTCCATTGATAGATATGAGTAAAATTCCTTCTCCCTCGGTCTATTAGTGAACCATCTCTCGAGAAAGGAATTCAGCATTAGTCGGTTCGGATTAATCTAAACCAGCCCATTATATAATATAATAGATTCAAGATGCGCCCAAGATCAGAACGAGCTTGCCGGCGGACCACTGCCGTCCCATTTGTTACTGTTTTTCTTTTATCCCTTTTTTCTGAAGGAAATGTCATAGTGACACTACGGCGCTTCCTTCAAGTATTGTATTAATCCCTTCAATAATACGAAGTCAAATGTTAAATAATTCTCACTTGAACCTAATTCTATTACGGAGTATCTCAAGAAGAAATACTCGAAGTAATTGATCGGGCTTTGAATATTTGTTATTCCCTCCGTCCCGCCAGTTCGTATACGGTGGGATCATCCCACGATGAGCACCATGCTCCAGGTCCATAAACGACGTAATTTAATCAATTAAAAAACGCGTGAACAATACATGCGTGTAGAGTAACTATTTTTTCTTTTTGTCCCATCAGCATAATGGATGTAACTCGCAAGTAAAACAATGTAACTCTCGTTAGAAAGAAATGTTACTGCAGGCAGGTCGAAATGTAACTTGTCTAAAACAATGATTTCAATATAAACAATAAAAAAGGAGTCTAATTTCTCATTTATTTTACCTAAATAGTGAATATGTTTTGTTTTTAATATTAGGACCACAAAATGTTTCAAAGAAATCATTTTTTCCCAAAAAATCATTTTTTTGCAAAAGAAAATCAATTTTAAAAAGTTTTTTAATTGAATAAAAGAGTCTTATTTTGTGATTTTGAAATACAATATACTTATTTATGTGGATTAATAAAACATTGTAATAAATTGGTAATTAAAAAACTTTATTCAGTTGTAATTTATTTAGTTGAAGATAAAGATAAGTAAAAAGTCACAAATAATTAGATGCAACTCATGCATAATTAGATGTAATTCGCGCATAAAAGTATGTAACTCGCGCATTGTTGAGGTTTAATCCCGAAGATCCAGAAGCCCAACACAAGCTTTGGATATTTAAGGACGTTAGGTTGGTTTGGAAAGTGTATAAAAATATAAAACAGTGAAATATTACTCAACTCAGGAGCTAACTTGTATTCAGTAATGCTGCGATTACACTAGACTACCCGAACGGTAGGTAAGTACAAGAATACAAGAATAAGAAAGATAATTCTAACTGCTAAGCTCTGAGTATTAAAATGCTCCTTTACAATGTTCTTAATGAAGATATTTATACTAGAATGGTGATGGGTAAACTGGACACGCGGCTGAATCCGATAGGTTGTAACCCCTGCCACGTATGCACCCATGCCTCCATTTGATGCTGCCATGTTTTAGCATTAAATGCGGCTTCTACTTGCTGACTACCCGTTCGTGTAGGGCGTTCGGTGTGTGGGACCCCGCCACGGGTGTTTTAGGTGTCAGTGTTTTTCTGAATTACTCCAAGTAGAAGAAATAGGCCGAACGCTGATCGGGGGATCTGGACTGCTTTGGGCCTTATGCTTCCCTCGGGCTCCCCATACTTTGGGCCTGGTGTATTGGGCCCGGACCCAATATCCCAACACGCATAAAAAAATGTAACCTACGCATAACAAGATGTAACTCACGCATAATAACATGTAACTTGAGCATAAGAAGATGTAACTTCGTATATTATCATAAATGTAACTCCATAAATCAAAATAAACATAATCAATGTCTTAAAACCTCTAAAAACATATAAAAGCAATAAAAAGTGTATGCATATAAAAGTTTATTACACAAAAAAAATGAATATAAAAAAATATTACAAAACATAATAAATTTTTTGTTGTGATTTTAGTTGAAGAAAAAAAGAAAAAAGTGCATGAATAAGGATTAAGACAGAAAGAAAAGTAATTAATGTGTTTTGAAAGGATAAAAATTTAATCACAAATTGAAATTAAGTACATACATCCGGCCAGTGATCCTTAATTAAAAAAATCATTTGGAAATATGATAGGTTTTGATAATGAAAAAATAAAAGTAAAAAAAGAAAGAGGCTGGGAGAGTGCACTAGAGAAATAGATCGAGAGAGCTAGGCAAAAAACGAAAAAGAATAAAAATAGCAAGGGTGGGGGAAGACGGTGAGTGGCCTGGTTAGTGGAGTGTGCGATTAAAGAGAGAGCTTGTGCGACCGACTTTATTCCAAAATGGTACCGTATTTGGGATCGGTTTACCATGCACATCGTACACCGATCCCACGGTATAATTTGTGCCGTCTCGCTAAGATTGTCCCATTTTATCTTTTCAGGAAATCCCACTAAGATTATCTCATACCAAATTTGGTAAAATTTGTGTGGTTCAAAACATTTTACTTTATTCTTACTTTATCAATTTAATATCAACCACATAAACACATTTTTCTTTATAATCGTGTCACGTTCTCTTGTCCCAATCTTAGTGGGACGGAGATAGTATGTACGGAGTACAATGGAATCGGAAGCAATATACTCGTATTTGATTTGTACGATGAAGTAGAGCCACGTTTTATTTTAACTGTTCCCCACAGTTTGACAGGCACATGGGCAAAATTTTACTACGTGTCATCAGATGAAGTTAAATGACAACCAGATGATGTCAGGAATCTTGTGATTAAAGCATGGAACAGTTATATCACGCGAAAATATCATATGGATTTCAATAATACGTAGTACGGAGTAATAGAGAAAATTTTCCAAGACTCAAACTCAACATTTTTTCTAGGGATAAGGGTCAGATAGGGCCTCGAACTTGAAAAAAAATGTCAAATAAGGTCATATTTAAGATGTTCTGTCTGGCCGACACCATTTGGGGCGGTTCCCGAGGGAATTTTTTGATGAAATTTTTTGAGCATCTTTCTCATTAAATCTAGTTTACCCATACCAAATTTCAGCTAAAAATTCAACCGGGAAGGTAGTCAAATGATTTTCCGAAACGTACTGCGTTGTTTAACTTCACAGTTATCTTCAAAAAATCATTTGACTGCCTTCCCAATTGAATTTTTAGCTGAAATTTGGTATGGGTAAACTAGACTTAATGAGGAAGATGCTCAAAAAAATTCATTAAAAAATTCCATCGGGAAGCACCCCAAATGGTGTCGGCCAGACAGAGCATCCTAAATATGACCTTATTTGACATTTTTTTTCAAGTTCGAGGCCCTATCTGACCCTTATCCCTTTTTTCTACAATAGGACCAAATGCATGTTTTCCTTTATACTAATTTTACTATTTTTACCCCTAATTCTATTTAATTAATTAATTAATCTAAATAATTGCCTCCCTAGTTTTCTTGCACAACTAAGGCAGTCCGTCGGTGGTAAGGTCCATGGTGGCGGCAGCACTTCGATAGCAGTCGTTGGCGGCAACTCTGGCTATTAATTAACCCAATTAATTCCCTCCCTAGTTCTCTTGCACAACCAAGCAGTGGCAGAACTAGGGGGCGAGCCGATGCCGCCGCCCCCCGTTCGCCAGTGGTGGTAATGTATATATGTGTATGTATATATCTCAGCCTTGGTGGTTAAAAAGTGTATATATTACAGCCCCAGCAGGAAAATATGAAAAATATGAAGAATTCCGCGTTCATATGTCGTGGGTTCGAAACCCTGTGGCGTTTTATTTTATTTTAGACTTCATTATTTCATTACGACTTATGCTTCTCCATTACTCCGCAGTCGGCATTTAGCATGTTACCTTGGACTCCCAGCTTGGAGATGTGATTTAACACTTCTTTTAATTTTGACTCATATTCCGTATGTTGCATTTTTAGACATATAACTCTATTTTTTTTAAAAAAAAATTGAATCACTCTAGGATAAGTCATTGGTTAAATCATACTTTAGATTTCTATATCTTTTATTTTACATTCTTATTTTTTCAATACAAATTATTTGTCACTTTTTCTTCTTCCCGTATTCATATGCAAGTTTTCTTTTTTTTAGTTCAATGGCCCTAAAATTAAATTTATAGCATAATTGTTAATTATTTCAAAATAAGAAAACAAATCAATGAGTTTTTAACCATTTCTTTCTTCTTCAAATAATAACATACATCATTTAATGTGTAAATTATCAAGAATAATTCTCAACATACTTTAAATAAACATAGCTATTTACTTTTTCCTTAGCATAATATCATTATTTATTTGAGACACGCTATATACGCATATATACAACCTTTGGATCAAATAAAAAGAGTAATTCACTTCCTTAAAAAAAGAGTTATTCTCATAAAAAATAAGAATAAATCTTGTGAATTAAACTTGTTGTCTAATGGCTCAAATCAGACAATAATACACTACATTTTATGAGAAACGAGTCACAACTTACTAAACCAATCAAAGTTTCCGTCATCGCAGAAAAATGCAAAAAAAAAAAAAAAAAAACTATCTGTGCATTAGAATGAGTAAAAAATGCACTCGTTTACACTATTCACGTGAATGATAGAATGCTGAACAGAGGGGTCGGGCGATCCGGCGGCGGAATGTGTCGCCGATTTCCTTGGAATCGACAACAATATGGCGTCGATCTGCACTCATCGATGTTCGGGCGGAAGAGTGCGGCCATTAGCTTTCAGAGAGGGAAGACACGTGAGGTGGAAAACCATCGATTTGAAGCACCATCTTGGAGTCGAGTCGACGTACATTGGGGGACGGAAACATCAGGAGCGAAAGGGAAATCGCCGCAGACTGACAGGGAAGTCGCCGATTGGAATTGTAAGCCGCCGGCTTGGGCAAATCGCTGCTGGGAGGATAAAGGTTGTTACAGAAGAGCAGTCAAACACAAAGGGAATTTTGTAGAAGAGATAGGTGGTTCCCATGGATGGTTTGCAGGTAGGCAGAGGGAGGTGCATAAAGCTTGTTCTGGAAAAGAATTCTGGGGATTACGTGGTTCAAGGCAAAATTCAGGTAAATTATATTCTCACCATAAAATGGAGCAATGGGCAGGGGGGAGAAACCCAGGTTTGGTTTTTTGCCGATGCTTTGAATAGAATTACAATTGAGAGCAAACTATTCTACTTTTCCCCATCACCTTCTGGTTTGCACATCACTCAATTTAAGGATTCTCGCAGCTATAGTATCTCTTTTGATCATGGTGGGTTTGACTGGTTATGTGATAGCTTTAGACAACTTCAATCAGGTTTTTCTTGGAATTTCACTCGGTTTGAAAATCCTAGAAAATTGACTTTATCTTTGGATAGTAATAGATATGGGAGATTTACATGCCTACGGTCATATGATAAAGGGATCAGTACCACTATTATTGTGCCTGAAGGAAGGAATGAACAAGGATTTGGTTTGTTCTATATGACTTTACTCCGTCATCTAGATTTATTGAAGGAGGTTAAAAATGGGGCTTTGCAAAGCTGTTCAGAAGACCTTGGGAATATATGCTCTTATACTTCTGATAAATATGACTTTGAGAACACCGAGTCCATTCCTTTTTTGCTTTTTCATGCTGATCTAGTTGATTATGGTTATTATACTACCTTTGATCCATGGAGTCCTCTTAGGGAAACTAGCTCCATTTTTGAGGCAAGTGTGGTTGGGACAGATGTGGGTTTGAATCCGGGGGAAATCCCAAAAGTTACGCCACTCACCGTGAGTGTTGAGGGCACTATGGATTCTTCAAACAAGGAGGCCTCTCACAGCAACGAACAAAGGGAACAAAATAATAGCGCACAAAAAGCTGATATTCAAGGTTCAACAATCACTTTGGATATGTCTTCTTCTGATTTGAATTCTTCTTCATCGAAGGAAATAACTAACTGCTCCAAGAAGAACGTGAAAGAGAATGATAATGTTTTTTCCAAGAGAAAGGTTGTGGGAAAGAAGACTACTATTTCATACCCTTCTCTCCAAGATCTTATCACTCAATTCAAGGCAGATGAAATGAGTTTAGACAAAAGGATGAAACCTCAAACATTGGTTCAGAGTGTTGGTTTTTCTTCATCTACTTCATCGGTGACTTCTCGAGGTTTAGTTGATCAAAACGATTTAATGGAGGCCACTGAAGATTGTTCTTTCACTCCAGTTATTTCTCGGCGTAACAAGAAAAAACTTGCTATTCAGGCTACTTCTATGCAAACTAGGTCACAATTGCGCTTGAAAGCTTAATCTTTAGCTTAGTTTGCTGTCTTTAACTTAGTTTATCATTAGCGCATGTATTGCTTTCGACTTTTTTAAATAAAAATAAATCTGAGAGGTTAAAAAAAAACACTATTCACGTGAAAAAATCTTTTTTATTGTAAAAACAATGATTTCTTTTCACTAGTTTTTCTTTATTCTAATAAACAAATTGTTTCGCAAAAAAAAATTATATATAAGAGCACCCGCTCAAATTATTCTCTAGTTTCGCCACTGCAATCAAGGTAATCTGTTGGTAGCGGGGCAGTCCAGTGGTGGTGGCAGCTTGGCGGCAGCGGCAAACTCTGGCGCCGGCTGCAGAGTGTTGGCAGACCGCCAGAAAAAAAATGGAATTTTTCCGGCGGCGGTGGACGGAGCTCCGGCGGCGGTGGCCGGAGCTCCGGCGGCATGCGACAGGCGGCGGTCCGGCAGTCCCTGGACAGTAGTGGTAAAGGCTGTGAGGGGTATTTTGGTCCAATCACTAATAAAAAGTTCTATTTAAGGATATTTAAACTAGATGCTCCTACTTTGGGAAAAAACCATGTTTTGATCCTAGCCCAGACACGAAAAAATCGTACGGAATTTAATTTTGGGAAAACTGTCAATTACGCCCTCGTACTATAGGCGAACCATCAATTAGGCCCTTGTACTTTGGAAACAATCAATTACGCCCGCCAAGTCTCTGAAAACACTCAATTAACTCTACATTATAGGTTGTCTCCCAGTTTGCCTGTTGCTCGCTGACCTGGCCGCTTAGATGGAGGTCATCTACCTGTCTAATAAAGCTGAGCCAATTATTTTTAAACACATCAGCCCCCTTCCCTATCCTTCCCCAACCTTGATTCGAAGTTCTGTGATAGACTGATAGCTGCTTTCATTTCTGATCTGAACTTCAGATTTGTTCTAATGCATTTACCTACTTTACTTTCATCCTCATATGCCTAACTCCTCTCTAGATCCCCACAACTAATCCATACGTTCTCCTAACATTCTCCCCCCAACAAATTTCACAATTTTTCACCTTGAATTCCCCACTAATCTGGTCTCCGGCGCTGGCGCGATGTTGCTGCCGCAGTTCGTGGAAGGGACGAAGCACAAGGGGATGCTGGCGAGCTGGTGCCAGCAGGAAAGGGTGCTGACCCATCCCTCCGTCGGCAGGTTCTTGACCCACGGCAGTTGGAACTAGAAGGTGGAGAGCATCTGCAACCAGAGCTGTGCGGTGCTTGAGGCGGATGAGGCACTTGCCTCAGGGTCCAAAAAATTGTTAAAATTTTAGGGCCCACAATTTTAGATATTTCTTTAGTATATATATGTATTAAATTTACATATTGGGCTTCCTTTTTGCCTGTTAGAGCACCAGTTAGAAAGAACCTGGAGATATCAGATCACACTCACACACACTATGTGCTGATATATGAGAAGGAAATCATATTCTATCCAGGAACTCTGCTTTGAATTACAGGATGATGCCTTTATATATAATAGGCATTGAAACATCATTTAATTGGAACATTAAAGATAGAACTTTCTGGGAAGTCTTTACATGTATCTAGCAACTCTTTAGTTTCCCACAATTATTTGAATTAAAACTATTTCCCAACATTGCCTAACATTTGTCCGCTGACTCCGCTGTTGTACTTCAAAAAGGAAAACCCAAAAGTCCCCCAATTACTTTTGTTCGACCAGTTTAGAAGCGGAATAGCCATCAACGTACAAATGGAAAAGGGTTTTAAGGCGATTTGCGATTCTTTTGTTCTGGCCTAGACTAATTGATCGACAATAGGGCCTTAGCTAAGGTTAATTTGCGATTCCCTTGTTCCAATCTATAGACATAATCAATCAACATCAAGGTTCATCTTTCATTTTCTTTGCTTAGATTCTAAATTTCTAATATTTTCCTATTTAAAGCCATAAAAGGATTTATAGCCTACCAAATATCTATTTAGAAGGAATTTATTGAACATCTAGAATGTCGAGTTAATTAATACTTTTTGCAACTAAAACTCTCCGGCGAGTTGTACTTAATTAGTCATTTGAATACTTTGACAGTAATGTAATTTTTATTTAATTAGTCGTTTGTATGATGTTTAATCTTCAATTTCAAAGAAAACTATAGTAAAAAAGTAAATAATGTATATGGCCTTTTATTAATTTCGACTCAGGCCCGAGTTTTGGTAGGATCGGCACTGTCTGCAACGGCGTGCCGATGCTCTGCTGGTCGTTTATTGCAGAGTAGCCGACGAACTGCCAGATGGCTTGCACAGAGTGGGGGATTGGAATGGAGATTGACGGGGATGTGAAGAGGGAGAAAGGGGAGGGGCTTGTGAGGGAGTTGATGGAGGGGAGAAAGGGGAGGGAGATGAAGAAGCTAGAAAGCCATGGAATGGAAGAAGATGGCTGAAGATGTTGTTGTGTTTCCAACTGATTCATCTCCGCCGCCGGGCTATGGAGATGTTGGTGAAGGAACCAAAGGATAGGGAAGGATGGGAAAGGGTAGGGAAAGAGAAAGAGACTGATGTGTTAAAAAATGGTAAATTCTATGGTACCCATAAGGTACCATACATTTGTCCACATGGACCAATGATAATGTAACAATTGAATTATTTAAATCTAAATTAAAAATGATAAAGTGATGTGGTCCAATCAAATGAATGATATGTATGGTACCCCATATTTTAGAAAGGTACCGGAGTTGTCACCTAAAAAAATATTGACTAGCGTATCAGATGACATCCACGTAAGCGGCCAGCTCAGCGAGCAACGGGCAAACCAAGAAACAACCAGTAATGTAGACTTAATTGAGTGTTTTAGGAGATTTGGCGGGCTCGTTGATTGTTTCCAAAGTACAAGGGCGTAATTGACGATTTGCGTATAGTACAGGACGTAATTGACAGTTTCCCCTATTATTTTTGTTTCGTAATAATTCTTACGATCCTTTTTTTTTGTTGACAAAAATTGGCTTAAATTGATAACACATCATTCAGATAGTAGGTAAAACGACAAAAAGATTTCCAGTAACCGCCGTCCCGCGAACCTGACTCAGAATTAATCACCTCCAAAGAAGCAATATAATTCGCTGATCCATAAGTGGGCACAACTGAACCATAGACGATTACCTCAATTCTCCCATCACCCCCATCCAAATTAACAGTCTTACAATCAGGAACAAAAATAACATAACAAAACAAAGCAACGACAAAAACGTCTAACAGAAAGGAATAGACTAAAACAAAAACATTCCGGTGAAGCTTGAAAAATCCCACTCGCACCAGCCTCCTACTCTTCCATGCCCCGTATGATAGAACTAGTTGTGGCGGACTTACTGTCCAAAGCCCGCCTCCAACCCGTTTTTTGTCCCATCCAGTGCCATGGTATCATCTCCATCAATTCCTCCTTCATGAGATTCCCAGATCCTTCTTCTCTTCTGTTCCCCTGATGATTTCTCATTTGTCTCTGTGCTGTCCGTCTTACTCTGCGCAGATTCTGAGACACAGTCTTTCCCACTTCCTTCCTGCCTGACCTCTGGCTAAAGATCCAACATATTCCCACCACTCCTGCCAGAGCTCGATGAACCATCCCATTCCCACTTATATCCTCCTGTAGAGCTGGTCTTCACCCCCATCCCTGCCCTTAGATGAACTCCAAAACGGTTTTCCAAAACAATCCCTTCTTCATAGTTTAAGGGACAAAATTTATCTTAATGACCGATGAGTCCACAAATAAAACAGAAATTGGGGAGTTTTTCATACTTGAAATCTACCCAATAATTCTTCCCCTCCTTTTTCAGATTCACACCCTTTTTAGAGACTTTTCTACGTTCAAGCACACTCTAATTCTCATATAAGGTTCGAGTTTCTCCCTGTTCTTAGGATCATCATAAATTATAAATTTGCCAATAAAATTTCCAAGTTTTCTTGCCATCCCTAAATTGACCAAACTATAAGGAACATTATGAACCTGAATCCAGAACTCGGCCTCATTTAAGATAATCTTATGTGGGATATCATCCGGCTTTAATTCTCTTAACAACAGCCATTGTTCTAAAACTCGCTAGGCGCTAGTCGGGCGGTTGAGGGGCGCCTAGCGCCTAGGCGGCCGACTAGGCCGATTTTTTGACCGATTAGGCCGATTTTTTGGCCGACTAGGCCGATTCGGCCTCTACGGTTAGGGCCGACTAGGCCGCCTAGGCCGATTAATCGGCCCGCCTAGGCCGATTTTTAGAACAATGACAACAGCAAATTTGTTCAAACTGCCATGGGCCCCCTTCAATAACTCGATTCATATCAAAGCGATGATTAAAAGTAAAGAGATACCTTTTTTTCACCCAAATCTTTGAACAACATCCCCTTCCCTGACCGCCATAGTGGCAACATGCATTCCTTGAGTGTTGAAAACTTTACCTGGCGATCTGTAAGCAGCACCCCAACCACTGGAAAGCCCAGTTTTGGCACCTCCGCCGGAATTGCCTCCTCATCGCCTCCATCCAGGTCCAGAACTTCCTCCTCCGTTCCAAGACCCATCTGCTTGTATTTGTCCAACACCCCTTCCATCATTCCCGCACAGTTAGCGGTCTGCCGGAGATATACCTCCGCCTGCTTTACGACGAAAGAATACAAAAACACCAATTCCCGATCCTGACCACGTCCGAGCTTCAACCGACCGCCGAAATGAATACACCAAAACAATCGGTAACTACCTACCAAAACACAAGCCCAAATCGTCGGTATTCCTAGGAGGATTCCGACGGAAAAAACAAATCCACACCCCAATCGGCGGAAACCGTTGGCGGCGGGTAACCCTAGGACGAGAGCTCTAGAGAGAGAAGCTCCGCAACACTAATAAAGATAAGATACCAATTTTCGCATGTTGAATGACCCAATTCTCACGATCCCTGAAATTGAAAATGATAAAAATTGAATAAAAAAATGATATGCACACCATTCTGCCGCCGACGCCGGAGTTCCAGTTTCCTGCACAATCAACTGGTTCTCTCTTCTTTTTCTGGCGGCAGAACCAATTGATTGGCAACACCGTCCTTTTTCTTTTTTCCTGCACAATCAACTGGTTCTGTCTTCTCAATCAATTTTGTGATTACCTCTTT